TTAAATGGAAGGATGAGAAGTACTTTTCTTTGGATGAATTACAGCTGATGCACTGACCACACTTAAGTCACTTTAATTACTGTCTTATAACATATATATTGACTTAGAGTTTTAATGGTTTAGAAGTTATAAAACTCCTTTAGTAGCTTATAATAATTACTGTCTCTATGGATTATATGCAAGAATCTAGAATTTTAAGTATATTAATTTTTTGAAGAGTTCTTTTTGAGCTTTTCTGAAAGAATTAATTGCCTTTCTGATATAAATATTTAAACAACAGAAATAAATAAAGCAGGCCATTTAAGCCTACCATTCTCTGTCGTCTTTCCTCCCCTATTCAGGTATCATGAATTGATCTGTGAGACCATGTTTCATCATTTTTCTGTTATATTTTCAGATGTGCATACTTGTGTGCTTTTTTCCATGCTGTTTTGTTACATTTTGGAGGGATATTTCCGCTGAGTAATGATATTTTCTTCAAACTAGCCTTTTCCTCATGCCCACTAAGATAGCTGACAACGTCATGCTATTGATGTAGAAACCACTGCTTAACATGTCAGCCTGTCTCATTACTTTATTCTCTTTTTTTTCCCTTCTCCCTTTGATTTACATTTAGATTGTAATTTTCTTAATAGTGTACAGTCTGTCTTTTTTTGAATGTAAGGACACTCACAGATTCATAGGGAATTAAGTCAAGTATGTCTGTAGATATACTTCACAAACTAAAACAGTGCATTCTTGAATGGTATGGTATGATATGAAAAAAAGAATGATTTTATTTTTAATTGTAACTTTTAAAAACTTTCCTCACTGCTCCTTATCTTTAATTGTTATTGTTAATCCACCCATTCTTTACCTATTCAACTGATTTTTTTCTTAATTTTAAAAAGGATGCAGCTCTTCCTTGAAAAATGTGGCCATTCTGTTTAAATAATTTGAATTAGCTGATGACAAAACGAGAAAAAAAAAAATCTTTAAAATATCTTCATTGCGTTTTCTTTTCTTCATTGACTATTTTTGGTCTGTATGGTATATTTGGCAATACAGCAAGACGAAGAGGTAGTGTGAAGGTTAGCAGATGTATTTTTAAAAACAAATATTTCATTAGAACTTCAAACTTTGCTAGGACTCCATAGGTTAATTACATTTTAAACTTTGCATTATTTAGGAACTTGGCAGGACACCGGGAAATCAAGCTGGAAGGATGATGGAAGGACAGATACCGCAACCGACATTACATTTTCGCAACCCGTATTCGGAGGAAAATGGACCAGTTCCGGCAGTGCCAAGCAGACTACCAGTACTGCAATTTGGAAACCCTTATGCAATTCAGGAAAGAAGAGGTAAGTAAATTCCACACCCCCTACCCCACCCACCCCCCAGTATAAGTTCCCTCTCACTGTTTCAAAAGCAGTGGCTTATTTAATGCAGGTTAAGTGCCAACAGTCTTTATACTGGTGTACAGAGCCTTTATTGATTGATGAGAATTTAATAAAGTGCCTTTATTTTACTGATGAGAATCAATGAGGTAGACAAAGTTTTAAAGAAGCACCTTTAAAAGGTGATTTCTGTTGTTTTCTATTATCTAAACTGCAAATGTGTTTAGGTTTTTTTTTTTTTTTTTTTTTTTTAAATGTAGGGTAGCACATCTGTAATCTCAAAATACAAACTTTACTCAACAAAGATGCTCTAATTAATTTTTCTTCAGATGGAGCAGATGGTGCTTTTAATCCTGATGAGATCCAAAGACCACCTGTTCGAACTTCCTTTTGGGAGCTAGAAGATGATGTAGTCTGTAGTCAGCCTTCACGCAATCTTAGTCGGCCCGATGGTTTAGAAGATCCTGAGGATAGCAACGCAAGTTACCTTTTTTATTAATTTTTTTCCTTGATATGTTTACTAATGAGTAATCAAGAGTTGCACATAGGTTTTTCAGTATCTGATAAGCCTGATTTATTGTTACATAAATCCAGATTTGACTTTTCTTTTGCCTAAAGAATGTTTTAGGTGAATTTTGCTTGCTTTGAAGGAGGAAACTCTGCACATCAATTGATGATAATATACTTGTTCCCTCAGTCTCTGGAGTTACTGACAGCTTGTTTCGGTATTAGGACAGTAGCTTCTTAATCTTTTTAAACACTGGAGTAGAAAAATCAAAGTCATCTCAACTCATTCTGATTTTTCTCTCCTGTGTGGTAGAACGAGGGCTCAAAATGTAGCCATGTCTTCCTCGCTTTATAATTTGTATGTAGGAAGTAAATTGCAACAGAACAAATAAAAATTTAAAGGATTCTGATACCATTTTTTCAGTCAAATGCAGAGTGAAAATTTGTATCGTATTAGGTACTCCATTCTAACGTATTAGTCTTTTGTTCTCTTTTGCGAATCTGTGTTTATTACTTTCCATTTTGAATGTTTTTTGCTGTTAGTCATGTACGTGGAAGAGCTGGTTGACTGTTATCTAAAGCTGATTAAACTGAAAGTGACAGATTCTCACTGATTTCTTTTTTAGGGATTTGTATGTTTTAAGTGGATACTGGTTAGCCTTTCTTTTTAATACAGTTAGCTTGCACGTCCTGGTATAAGATATGGTTTTAGTAAATTGGCTTCTGTAATAAACTGGACTGTATGTCTTCATTTGAACAGGAACAGACTTATTACTCTTTCTTATTCTAAATACTCTTGCACCTTCAAAAATATTAAACAAGAAATACCTTTCTGCAAAGTATTCTGCTCTTTGCAAGTACAGTGGTATCATGACCTGTTTCTCATTTAGTCTAGTTTGCCACATTTAATTGCTATTAACCTTTGCAGAAGCTGATCAGTGTTCAGACAGGCATGATTTTAGCCCTGGTGCTCAGCACCAATAATGGAGAAAAATGTATTTCTCCCTCCTACCTTTTGCCCCCAATGTCCATTACTGTGAATAATTAGAGAAACTGTCAGAACTTCCGCAGCCTGTTTGAGATCTAGAATGTGAGCTTAATGCTGTTGCCCACCTTTACTTCACATTTTGCATATTTAATCTGATCATTCTTGACGTAGATACTGCATATGACAAGCTCTTCTCTTCTTTAGTCATCTGCTTCAGTTTAATTAGCAGGGTGTTCTTTCTGATCTATGTGCTTTGCCCTCTTGCAAACCCAAGAGAAACAGTGCTAGAGTCTTGTGCTCATTTGCTGACACAGCTTGGATTTTTGTAATGAAATGGAATATAACAGGCTTAAATAAAGTTCAACTTGAGAAAAGGTGCCTTTAAATCAAATAATTTATATCTTTATTCTTTTACTTTCAAATGAGAATCAGTTGCTTGCTCCTCCCAAAAATAGACCATATGTGTAGTGTACAAATTCCCATGGAAATGAGTAGTTGCATGAAGTTTCTAGAGAGACTTAGTAATATGCCAAAGATAAAACAGTTCCTATGTAGTATTTAAAGAAATAACCAGGGAAAACTTTCATATATGTAGGTAATTCATTATAAGGGAGAGCCTGTTGCTTGTGCAGAAGAAACAGCAGGTATAAAATGATAGGTATTAAGAGATTACCATTTGTTGTACTGGCTTTTAAAATAAGCTGTTTAAGATGTAATTCTGTGCGTTTTTAAACCAGTAAGACGTAGAGCCTTTTGTTGGAGGAGGATTCCCTCCCAGAAGAAAAGGATTGGTAGTCTTGCTGCTTTATTTAAAATATTACTATGGTATGGACTTCTGTCATCTTCCTCTCCTTATTCCTACTATGTGTTATATTCATTTAAGAACGTGTTGTAGCCACTTCCACCAGTTCATGGCTGTTTTGGTGGTGCTTTGCCTATGATGATGAACATGTCTATATTACTTATCTAAGGTGACAGATCTTTGAGACCCCGGGCCAATATTGTGAATCATAGGAGAATGAAGTAGAGGTGCTATACACACAGCTGTAAACAGACTTTTCAGGTATGACTAAAATAGGCTTTTTTCAGTCTGTAAGGTGAGAGTAGGGAAGTATGTGCATGCACACGTGAGAAAAGCTTTGTGACTTGCTTCTATGGAATGAAGGCCAGAAACGGGACCTCCTTTCCTTTAGGATATTCATCTAACCTAAGGAATAGGTCAGCAAACTAGGGCGGGGGGTGCAGTCTAGCAAGTCAAACTTACCTGCTGTAGTTGCTGCTCTTACATTCTGGTGCAGTTCAGTAACTTCATAAACGATCTGGATGACAGAGGAGAAAACTGGAATGCTTCTTCCAGAAGTGTTTTCTGGACAGGCAATTAGGTAGAGTTGCTTCAAACCTACAAACCACATCTCTGCAACTGTTACTACCTTGACCTTCTGTCATTGTAAGTGTGGAGTTACTCTATTTCCAACTGCGACATGTCTTCCTTAGCACCAGGGGAAGAATCTAGAATTTGTCTTTGTGCATTTGTCCATTTGCACCTTTCCACTCTATGTGTTGATAGTCATAGAATGATAGAATAGTTTAGGTTGGAAGGGACCTTTGAAGGTACAGTCCTCGAGTTTTTAAAGCCTTTGTCTTCACTGGACCATTCCGGCACTTAAACAATTCATACAGCATTATTTGTGCTGTGAGTTGATGTAAGTGGAGTACCCGTTTTCTGTTATCTGAACTCTGGTGTTTGCTCAAAACAGAATTCTCTTCCAGTTTGTTCAGATTTTTGTTTTGCTGTCCTGCCCCCATTTTCTGTTTCTTTCTGGGTATTATTTTTGCTTTCTTCTGCTAACTTCAGCCATGTTTGACATGGTAGAGGTGTTAGATAGTGACTTCCTACAGGTTTTTTGACAATTGCGTGGGAGAATTGAGACACACTAATAAATTCGTGTTCTAACAGGCAGCTGACAGCTGCCTCATTAGCCTGAGTATGGCTGCAAATGGTCAATAATCCAACTAAATACGAAGAGAACGTGAGATGATGCAGGGGGAGAGGTGTTAGGGGGAATGCAAGACAAATCCAGAGAAAGTCAGGACTCTGTAGTTCTGTTTTTGGTGGTAAAACTTCATTCTTTTACTTGAACTGAAATTGCCCCCTTTAGTGAAACATCTTGGACCTGTCCAAATTGATGCAAACCTTCTATACCAGAATCCCACTTGTCTTCTTGGTTTTGCAAAGTCTTCATGAGGTGTTTTTGGCTTTTATTTGGTTTTTTTCTTTTTTTTTTTTAATGCAACCTTTTTCTTCATCAATCTTGTAACAGACTTGTTTGAGGTGCTGAGTTTACTTTTGCATAAAGGAATCTTGTGTTCCTGGGTAATGATCCATTTATATGCTTTCCGTCTTGTACTGAAAAAGATAGTGAACTTGTGGTGCTGTGTCTGCAATATATTAAAAAGATCACGTTTCTGTTCTGTGTCATTAGAACTGTAAATTGCTTACTGATATGGATTAACTGTGGTTTTCTACATCAACAGAAAGGTTTTTCCCCATTTCCCTTCCCAATGAAGGAAAACTGTCAGCCTGTTGAGCTAATGTGGCTGCCGTTGTGTGTACTTCTTAGCAATACACCTCTTAAAAAATCTCAGTGAGACACCCTTGGTTGATCTTCCTACCTATCCCGAGGAGGAAATGTGAGACTTTCAATTATATATTAATAGATTAGAGGTATAGCACAAGACAGTAACTGTCCTTTTTGGTTAGTGATGGTGAAGAAGGGTGCCGGCTTGGGCTCTATTCACTCACTGCTGCTTTCTCGTTCCAGTGTCACAAATTCTGTACTCTCCTTAAGAGCACATTTGGCCCAGTGAAGCAGGATGTTTGCATAGCCCTATAGTACTGAATGGGTGCCAGGGTGTGTACCATGCCCATTCATAGAAGGAAAGACATCACAGATGGCCTAAGCTCACTTTAAAAGGATTATTCTCATGCTAAAGTTGTGCATGAATTATTTTTGTGGGGATGCTTCTGGATGTGCAGCTAATGGTTTGATCTTCAAGTCTGTGGAGTACAGCTGCTGTCTTTGTAACCCTCTACAAATTTGTCTTTCCTACTGATGAGTTAAAAAAGCTCATGATTGAGATGATCCTTCTGCTGAGGCATTTGCTCCTAATGTGACCTGAACTTAGTTTCCACATTCCTAAGGAGAACGCTGTTTGCTCTGACCCCAAGTGTAGTAGGCTTCCCTTTCAAGGTGAAGACATCTTTGTTACTGGCCGTTACCTTGAGTAGCAGTATAAGATCAGGTGATGGCGACTCTCCCGCTGTACGGTAGCTTATGCTGCTTCCACTGTCTTCATTTACTCTGAGTTGTAGTCCAAGTAAGGATACATCTGCAAATGCTTCAGAATTTTGGTTTAACATTGCTGTTGTGTTCTGATTTTGTTTCTCCCAAAACTTTGTTCCTTGGGAATGGGCTCTTCCATATATTTGGTTGACATGAAAAGCCATCCGTTTGGTATGACTTGAAGGCTTTCTGGAATTCTTCATAGCTTTGGCTTTTGGAACTCTTAGGCCAATTAAACCATGATTTCTGAGAGGGATAAGCCGGTCTGTGTTAATCATGCCAGATGAGCACACATACAATGGTGATTTTATGTAGAATAGTTGACTTGCCACAAGTTCCTGCCGTCATCTACTCAGCACTAACTTTCCATTTGCTCATGCTCCCGTAATTGACCAAAATGTAATCATTTGGAGCAAATAATTTCTAGAGGAAGGTATGTATGGGAGAGATCCATAAACAAAGCATATATATTTAATACTAAAGTGTGAGTTTTAGAAATGTAGTCCTGATTAGTTGGCAGTAAGCCCAGAATAACTATCCTGAGACTCTTAAACAATGTTGTTAGTCACAGTAAATTTGTGGGGGGTGGGGGGTGTAACTTTTGGCAACTGACAACCAGGTCAGGGTACTTTTTTGAGATGAATCCAAAATGGCCTTTTCTTCTAGCAAAAAAAAACCCGCTATACTTCATTAGCCTGATCTTACCCTGGCAGCCAATTACGGCCTTTTCTACAGGGTAGACACAGAAGGAGCAGTTGGTATCCAGGCACCCCTTGGGAGAGCAGACTGCTTGCAGAGAGGTAGGGACACCTAAAAGACTTTGTTTGATTTCACTCACGCAGCAGAGCCGAATCACAGAAAGAAAATGTATGTACTTTTCTTTCCAGCTTACCTGCGCTCTACGTTAGCGGTGCGGCTGTTTGTTTATTGTTTAAAGCTTAAGATGGGCATCGCTTCGCTTGCTGTTGCACGTTAAAATGATCTGTAGAAATCGGGGACGGGGATTGTTCAAGCCTGTGGTTTTTGTACAGTGTCCCATGGCTTTGTTTCTAATTTCTGTTTGGCAGTCTGGGAACTGATTACAATCGCAATCGTGAAAGCAGTACTTGAGACAAAATGGGTTAGTTTTGGTAAAACTAGGTGAGCTGCGCTTATTTCTGACAGTTAATGTCAGGCTTTCCCTTCTTTTTCTTCTGTTAGTGGCAAACCCCCTCTTTTTTACCCGCCTTTTATTTATTGTGTAATACTGCATTTATCTTTGTGATACATGCAATCTGTGGAACCCATTGTGGCAATTTTCGAGAGTCAGAGTTACAGTCCAGTGCTGTTAGTTAAGTCATGATGTTAGAGGCATCCCTTATAATTTCATTAACCAGGATATCCCAACTTCTGACTTCAGAAGGCCTGGCGCTTGTTACGCTACACAACCACAGGGTCAGCCTGTGGGTATGTGCTACCAGGCTCTTTTCGTAAGGACCTGCGGCCACGTATCAACTGTGTTACATCGCTGCAGGGCGCTGTGGAGGTCTTGGACTGAGTGCGTGCAGCAGCGTCCCTGGTCATCAGCGTAGAGCGCAAGAAAGCTGGCTCTCGGTCTGCACAAAGGGCAGATTGAACTGTCCCTTTCTCAAAATATGGAGTGTCGGCTTCCATCCAGATAACTTGGATGACTCCACCGTGGGGTCTTGAGAGTAAGCTGATGCCTATGCTTAAAATACAGCATGGGCTGAGCCACTGGGGCCAGGCGTCACGGCAATTATTGTCAGACTCCTTCTGTAAAGCGGCTTCAACCAGCCTTCTCATCTCGGCTTCTGAGTCTTCGGGGGGTGGTTTGTTCTACCATGGGAGAGTGACGCGTTTTTAAATGTCAGGTTGAAAAGCATCTGTAACATCATTTGTAAGAACAAAGAATGTATCATTGGTTATGGTAGCTGGAGGAAACGGGGCACTAAGTGATTGTGAACCCAAATGAGCAAGATCTGTCCTCCCTTCATGGAGTCCTCTGGTTCACAGGGTACGCTTCAGGAGTTCTGTCCATCTGGAATGACAGAAACAGACAGCGGTTGGAGTCCCGTGCTGTGGGACATTTTCTGTGTTTGCCAGAAGTTCCAAGTTAGCCCAGAATTTTCAGTTATTGGTGATTGTGGGCTCTTCAGTGTAACTTGTGAGTGGAATCACTGGGAAATGCTCCCAGGCTAAGATGAAGTTCTCATTGTTACCGCGTGACCATTCTTTCATTATACAATAATCTCTGTAACACGTGCTTTTGAGGTGTGCTTTGAGATCTGCATTCCTCTTCTTTGGGTTGAGCATAACAACAGGTTAAGAATTGATCTTTATGTACTTGGCCAAGAGCAAAAGTACACTGAAGAGACAGACTTTCTGTATCGTAAGAGCAGAGTATCAGCACGTGTTTAGTGGTGGTGTTGTCTGCACAGGTCAGAAGCTGGTGTAAGGAACGTGCAGTACGATTTGTACAGTTAATCGAACTGGGTCACGAGAAAGCTGTATCCTTAGGACATACCAAACAATGTCACTTTGACATCAGAAAAGCCTTTTTTCTAAACAGTTAATAACTTGCGCTTGCCTCTTGTTGAAGGTGGTGCCTACCAGGGAGCAATGCAGCATAGCGCATGCGAGCCCGTGTAGAGGAAAGCATTGTAGGCTCTTTTTCAAGTCAGTTTTCCAAAAAGGAATGAGGAGGAGTGTTGTATTTGTACGTGGCTGGGTGTCACACTTGCCAGAAGTTGAAAGGAAGAACAAAAGACATAAACAATTTTCTCTTACCCAGTGACTCGCAGTAACCCAAATGGTTTTTTTTAAAAA